CTAAGAAAGTTTGCCAGTTAATGCCAGCTGATCAAGACTGTCACTTATACAAACCTTTTTTGCTTCATCCAGTTTCCAAGAGCTATTTAATAAACATAACCATTTAAGATCCAAAGAAAGCAGCAAACCACTGCATTGTTCCAAAGTTCTTTGAATGAATGCAGAAGTATATGACAGTAACTACTACTACAACTACAAACATAGCTAGTTAAATGGGAAAGGATACAAAAAGTAAACATTTATGGTGAAACTGTTCTACAACACTTTTGAACAGATACTAGGGTTAAACAATAATTTAGAATAATTTCATTTAGAAACAAAATAAAATTATTAAGAGGAACTACCCTCTATAAAATCAATTCCTTCAATATAACCTTAAAGAACAGTCCCCTGGAAATAAAATGAGAATTCATTTCCACAGCGAATTTGACTTTCAAATCATTAATTAATTTAGTCCTTTCAGCAGGCGAAACAGCCATCATTTTCATACGCCACTGAACATACTGAAACTCACTGAATATTACCCTAGAACAAGTGCAATCACAAATACTATGTAATAACTTAAAAGTTCTGGATCATGAACTCTATTCAAAGTAGCAACATAGAAAATCTTGCAATATCTATAAACTGGCACATTATTGGAAAAGAAAAGTTCCAGGTAGATCCTTCTAGCCAGGAAAACAGTATTTTTTCCATTTCTTCTAATCTATCTGCTACCAGGTACAAGACTCAAAAGCTTCAGAAGTGAACACTTCACATTCCTTTTGTATAATGAAGCACAGAGATCAAACATCTATTAAGCACTACCACTGATACCACCGAAAGCCAGGCAGGAGATAATCAGGTAATTTCAGTTTATCTTACCAGTTCATCTATGTCTCAGAAACACTCTAAATATTAATATATATAAACATTAATTAATTATTGCATGTGAGAAAGAAAGTCATAGAAAAATCATCCCAGAAGAGACGTTAGTATTTCAAAATCTTTTCTCAGACTTGCCATCTACAGTCTTCATCATCAAAGACAATGGTGCAATTATCTCCTGCACGGTTCTGGAAAATCAAACTTGTTTGCTTTTGGGAAGGGATACTTTGATAAGGAATTTCTCTCTCTGCAGTTCTGTAAATGTACATAAATTCAAACATGAATTTATAAGTACTAGCATGGCAGTTTATATGTTTACTGTGAATATTTCAAAGGCCTGGTAACATTCCTATTTGTCCAACTGAAAGTGCACTAAAATGCATTGGGAGTACTGATGTATAATAATGGTTCACTTTGAGTAATAAATCCACGCTGACAGAGGAGTGTAGTGGTTTCAGGCATTTCTTAATGTACATGTTTGGCAAGAAATGCCATATCTTAATAGAATACCTTAATACTTGGGATGTTTGCAAATGAACACGAGTGGGTAATTTATATAACGAGAGAGACCAATCCATCACTCAGCGAGCAAAAGCGCATCTGAACTAAAAGGTTACAAAGACTCTGCCTTATGTATATTCCAGGACCAAGTGTGGTTCACAGGTCTCAACTGGTGGAATCATTAGCAACCGTGTATGAAAGACCTGAAATGCTGATGGGGGAAGAATGAAAGAAATGTGTCAAAAGTTACAAAAGACCATTACGTATCTCCAGAGTACATAAATTTCTTTTCGCAGCACCAACTCTCAATGTGAATTATTACTCCCCAGCTTTGGTGCTGAAGATCTCTATGAAGTTGCAATCCCATCACTCTACACCAGTTCCTCCTGCTGTCACGCAGCCAACATCCTTCCAGAATCTCCAAGAAATCAGATAGGAGCCTCGATTAAAAAAAGCTTATTGCTTTTGTTAACTGGACGCCATTTCCCAATTGTAGCTAATAATACAAGCCACAGAAGAGATGACCTTGAGGCAAATTAGCTTACCGCTTCAGGATTATCTTTAGCATCAGAAACAAAGCAAAGCAATGGCGTGCAACTATATGCTCACATATAAGCCTACACCTCCAAAAATAAAAGTTATTTCTTACAGAGTACAGATTGTGGAATTAGCTTATTCAAACATGTCTATGTAATTGCCAATGGAATCCTGGGCTGCATAGGGAAGAGTGTGTCCAGTAGGTCGAGGGAGGTCATTCTCCCCCTCTACTTGGCACTGGTGAGGCCACAACTGGAATACTGTGTCCAGTTTTGGGCTCCCCAGTTCAAGAGGGACAGGGAACTGCTGGAGAGAGTCCAGCGAAGGGCAACTAAGATGATTGAGGGACTGGAGCATCTTCCTTACGAGGAAAGGCTGAGAGAGCTGGGACTCTTTAGCCTGGAGAAAAGAAGGCTGAGGGGAGACCTTATTATTGCTTACAAATATCTAAAGAGTGGGTTGAAGGAGGATGGAGCCACACTCTTCTCGGTGGTTCCCAGTGACAGGACGAGGGGCAATGGGTGCAAGTTGGAACATAGGAAGTTCCGTTCCAACACACGGAAAAACTTCTTCACAGTTAGGGTGTCAGAGCACTGGCACAGGCTGCCCAGGGAGGTTGTGGAGTCCCCTTCTCTGGAGATTTTCAAAACCCGCCTGGATGCAGTCCTGAGTAATGTGCTCTGGGCAATCCTGCTTTAGCAGGGGAGTTGGGTTAGATGACTTCCAACTCTGAAAATTCTGTGATTCTGTGATTCTGTGAATTTACAGTAATTTAGTGGACAATAAGCTTTGTTTTTCCTAGATAGTAACTGAAAGTTATTTTGAATATCCACACTACCTATTCTTCAGCAAACACAGAATTTAGGATGAGACTACACCAGCAATATATTACCAGGAAGTCTAATATTAACCTACTCAAATTAAATGTATGTCAGATATTTGTCAAGCATTGATATATATAAGGTAAGAACAGCCAACAGAACAGAAAAAGTTACTGTGCCCATATCTTGAATACTCTGCCATTCTCTACCTTAAAAAGGCAACAGTAGAAATACAGAACTGTACGAAGAACAAAAATGGTGCTGATTGGAGATACTGAATGGTTGAATACAGGGAGCAATTAAATAGATTAAGTTTTTGTAGCTTGGAATATGCAAGATTGGGGCAATGTGGAAGAGAAGATAAAGTCAGGAATAGAGAATGACTGCTCGCCATTTCTTCTGACATAAGGCCTAAGTTGAACCAAAATGAATTATTTGGCAACATGTTTAAAAGAAATAAAATACCTTAACTCACAGTGATAGTATGGCTTTGTATGTTGAAAATTTAGTGGAAAATCCCTTAGGCACGTTTAGGGAGGAAGAGCCAACTGAGTGTATTAAGCACCGGCATGCAGATACAACTTGCAGCAGAGAAGGCCCTGCATGCAAATTGCAGGAGACTGGCTGCGTACTCTGTATTTATCCTGGTTTTGCACTCTTTC